AACCGGATCGGCCGAAAAGTTATTCGGCAAATTTTTACAGGTGTCCTTGGAATTATGATAATAGCTGTAAATGCAAAAATTAAAAAATTTGCAGACTGGTAATCCTATCCCGCGCGTGATCCGCGCGTGACGCGCGGGATTTTTGAAAAAACTGCGATTTGTCCATCTCTAATAAACAGTATAAGCATTATAATTGGTATAAGAATTTAAATATGTATAGACAATATAAGCAATATATTGCTAATACAATGTATAACATGTCCTAATTAAAAAAAAGTATATAATAAAGGCTTCTTGCCCTTGATAGAAGATATTTCTTGTTCATGATTGATAATTAAGTACTTCATTACCCCACATTCATTAAATAAACTAATTGATCAACTACTAAGTAGCATAGTAGTGTGATCATCAATCTGTATTTTTACCCCCAAAGTATCAACAACCAAAGCCTCAACTTACCCACTCGCCAAATATAACATGCCTTTCTTGATAGGTTGTCTGGTGTGCTGGATTAGGTTGTCCCAGAAGACCAACTCTCCATTGTCACTATGAAATTTATTACACAAGCTACTTACTAATTTTGCTTTCTATTTATAATAGTCGCATATTCAAATATTGTATCTAATATTATATTTTTACATGCTATAGAGAATTTCTGTAGAATTGCATAGATTTATGAAATACTAATATTGGTGATTAAAATTTGAGATAACACTAATAAAACATTAGATATAGAGTCTAAGAGAATCTAAAAAGCTTATTACAAGTCAAACTCGTTATAGTGAACTCTCGATATAGTGAAGATTGGCTTATAGTGAAGAATTTTTCTAGAACAAAACCAATATTATTTAATTATTGCTTTTTATAATAAAGTTAATTAGTAAACTCTTGATATAAGACATGTGAAGTTATTTTTTAATCAGGTATAACTAAATGCTTCGCGATATAGTGAAGATCATATCATGTGACTTTTTTAGCCAATCATATTAGCGCTGCATTGTCATACCATCGTACATATCTTATTTAATAATAACGATAATTGCTTTTAAGTTCATATTATTCTTGGTACATTATTTGCAGAGAGTTTCTCTACTATATGTACATACGTACTAAAACAAATCAACCTTTATTTGAAGAGCTTTTTTTTCTTTACAATTTCTATGATTTAGAGGGATGAAAAAGTATTAGTTAATACGCTTCACAAAAATATTACCTAGTTTACTATTTTTAAATAAGAACTGGCTTAATTTCTCTTTTTGTATCTTAATGAGATTGGTCTTCTTTTGGCCCTGGGATATTATGTCTCTAATGATCTGTTGACCAATTTCATTTTGGTAAGCAAAATCATGTTTTTTCTTATTTTAGAGACATGCCTCTTTTTTTATCTTTTTTTTTTTTTTTATTCTATCACTATTCACTTATATTAATGATACAATTTACAACAAAGCTAATACTAATGGCAATAGTAGAAGAATCCTCTAAAGAGCTGGCAACAAAAAAACAAAAACATGATAAGGAAAGTAAACCAAAAAGAAAAAGTCTTACTGGTGCCCAAAAGGCTAAAATATGCCATTTAAAATAAAAAGGAGTTAGTCAAGTTAAATTAGCAGAAAGGTTTAGTGTTGCTGAAGCAATGATTTCGGGTATTGTTCGTGAAAGGAAAAGTGGCTGTCACTTGATTTAGATTCTAACAATGCCTCTTTGAAATGACAAAAAACTGGAAAATTTCCTTTATTGAAAGAGGTATTAGCTCTATGGGTATCTCGGGCAAACATAGTATTTCAAACTATTACAGGTACAATAATTCAACGTAAGGCAATACAACTTGCAAAAAGGCTTGAAGTGATGAACTTTAATGCATCCAATGGATTAAGGTTGCCTACCGTAATGGGTTTAACAAAGTTGTAAAGTTGCAACCTTTCGTATTGAAGTTGTAATTTTTTGCCGTAATAGGTGTAATGGTCGTAATAGGTGTAAT